GGGGGCAGTACAGTCTGTTTGGGGGCAGTACAGTCTGGGTGGGGGCAGTACAGTCTGTTTGGGGGCAGTACAGTCTGTTTGGGGGGCAGTACAGTCTTTTGGGGGGGCAGTACAGTCTTTTGGGGGGGCAGTGCAGTCTGTTTGGGGGGCAGTACAGTCTTTTTGGGGGCAGTACAGTCTTTTTGGGGGGCAGTACAGTCTTTTGGGGGGGCAGTGCAGTCTGTTTGGGGCAGTACAGTCTTTTTGGGGGGCAGTACAGTCTTTTGGGGGGGCAGTGCAGTCTGTTTGGGGCAGTACAGTCTGTTTGGGGGCAGTCCAGTCTGTTAGTGGTCTGGTTGGGTCTTTTGGACCAGAACCTGTTTAACGTGGTCTTCCTGCAGGTCCGTGGTGACATATTCTCGAGTCGGGGGTCATGTGAAGACCCTGACGTTTTGTCAGGGCTCACATTACCTGGCTGTGGCCTCAGATAACGGATCGGTCCAGCTGCTCGCAGTCGAAGCCAATAAACCTCCCAAGTCCCCCAAAGTCCAGCCGTTCCAGTCCAGGTACCAGAATCCCCCAGCTTCATGACTTTGTTGGGTTTAGGTCCTGAATTTGATTTGAATCAGGTGCTTTCAGGTGATCCAGTTCTCTGGTCTGGTTTCAGGTCTCTGGACCTGCAGGAGGACGGCTGCGTGGTGGACCTGCACCACTTTAACTCGGGGGCCCAGTCGGTTCTGGCGTACGCCACAGTGAACGGCTCGTTGGTGGGCTGGGACCTCCGCTCCAACTCCAACGCCTGGACGCTTCGCCATGACCTGCGTCTGGGACTCATCACGTCCTTCAGCGTGGACATGCACCAGTGCTGGCTCTGCTTAGGTCCACCAGGCCTCACACAAGTCTTAGTCCTTGATGTTGGCTCAGTAAGACCTGAACCTGTCCTCCTGTGTTCTGCAGGGACGAGCAACGGCACCATGGCCTGCTGGGACATGAGGTTCCAGCTGCCCATCTCCAACCACTGCCACCCGGCCCGGGCCAGGGTCCGCCGCCTGCTGATGCACCCCCTGTACCAGTCCTCAGTCATCGCAGGTGAGACACGTCCCCGGTGGACTCTAAGGGCTTTGACACCTGTCTTCAGAGCTGTCTTTGTGTCTCTGCAGCCGTCCAGGGGAACAACGAGGTGTCCATCTGGGACATGGAGACTGGGGACAGGAAGTTCACCCTGTGGGCCAGCTCGGCACCCCCACTGTCTGAGATGCAGGTGAGTCTGAGGACATGTTGGTCAGAGGACATGTTGGTCTGAGGACATGTTGGTCTGAGGACAGGTTGGTCAGGGGACAGGTTGGTCAGGGGACAGGTTGGTCAGGGGACAGGTTGGTCAGGGGACAGGTGGATCAGGGGACAGGTGGATCAGAGGACAGGTGGATCAGGGGACAGGTGGATCAGGGGACATGTGTCTGAGGACATGTTGGTCAGAGGACAGGTGGATCAGAGGACAGGTGGATCAGGGGACAGGTGGATCAGAGGACAGGTGGATCAGAGGACAGGTGGATCAGAGGACAGGTGGATCAGAGGACAGGTGGATCAGGGGACAGGTGGATCAGGGGACAGGTGGATCAGGGGACAGGTCTTCATGGACAGACATGTCCTCTCCTTGCAGCCGTCTCCTCACAGTGTCCATGGGATCTACTGCAGTCCTGCTGATGGGAACCCTCTGCTGTTGACGGCTGGATCTGACATGAGGATCAGGTCAGACCTGCAGGATCTGGACTCTGAGGACCCTCAGGACCCTCAGACCAGTGTAATCCATGATGTGGTTCTGTTCAGGTTCTGGGACCTGGCCTATCCTGAGAGGTCTTACATCGTGGCAGGAGGAGCACATGACTCGCTGCACTGTCCATCTGTCCTCTACAGCCGCAAGATCATCGAGGGGACCGAGGTGGTCCAGGTAAATACACACACCAGGACCAGGACCAGAACCAGGACCAGCAGCCTCACCTGTGTCCTCTCCACAGGAGATCCACAGCAAACAGAAGAGCGGAGCTCCAGAGGACTCTCCTCGCCGCGGCCTGGAGGCGCTGCCTGTCGGCCATCATGACATCATCACTGACATCGCCACCTTCCAGACCACGCAGGGCTTCATCGTCACCTCGTCKCGAGACGGCATCGTCAAGGTGTGGAAGTGAACACCTGATGACATCATCCTCCTGTCTCTGAAGTGTTAGGACTCGTTCAGAACTGGACTGATGGACAGGTGATTGGACAGAGCACCTGTCAGTCACTGTGATGAAGCAGCCTCAACCAATCAGAGCAAAGCAGCTGCTTGTCTGACCCGCCTCTCTTCCTGTAGTGTAGCAGGAAGAGGAGGCTGCTATCTGCTGAAACTTTCAATCTAATAAATATCTTCAACCTCACCTGATGCTTCCTGTTTGTTTGTTTGTTTGTTTGTTTGTTTGTTTGTTTGTCAACATTTCTACTGAAATAAAACAAGTCAGTGGTTTACAGAATATCTTTATTATCTGCTGCGATTCTGTCAAACATTAAATTCTTCATATTCATCGGCAGAGAAACATAGCACCACATCTGAGGATGACATAAACCCAACGTGTTGAAAAGCTTTGAGTACAACAGGAAGTGGAACCCCTGACAACAGGAAGTGGAACCCTGACAACAGGAAGTGCTGGGGTTCTACAGAGAGGAGGTCCTGAAGCTCTACAGTTTCCTCTGAGTCACAGATTTGTCCATGCTTTGATTCGACACTGAAGGTTTTAATAACAGCAGAGCAGAAATGTAACATCTGTCCTGAAAATGTCAGGTTTTGTTCTGAGTGGCGCCACCTACTGGTGACTTTATGAACCTAAAGTTTTGTTGTTTTAAGAAATCAAAGCAGAACCTGAAGTTCAACTTTTGAATCAGATCAATCTAATGGTCACATGATGCAGTCAGATCTACAGATTAAAGTTTATACAGAACCAGAACACGAGCCGGGTCAGGCTGGTGGACCAGCTGTTTATTTCAGGGTTCTGTTGGATCCAGATAGAAACCAGGATCAGAACCATGAACTGGACTCTTTCTGACCCAACAGAACCTTTAGTTTTTCTGCAGAGATGAAGGAACAAACTGAAGCTTGATGAGACTCAGAGGAAACGTCTTCAGGACCTGACGTGTTGAAGACGACTCCTGGTCCAGTCCAGACTGGTGTTAGTCCTGACCGCAGAGACCCTCCTCCTCCTCTTCATCGACTCTTCGTCACACACGCTTCCTCACACTCTTCACGCCTCTCGAAGCGGTTCTTGTTGCCGCCGCAGCCTCCGTACCAGAAGCGCTCGCACCTCATCTGGACCGTGTTGAAGAACCACATCATGGAGTACTCCTGGCAGCTGCCGGGGTCCTGGCCCAGGACACAGGCGTCTGCGTGGGGACACGAGACAAACGGAGACACGTTCACCACGGACACGTCCAACAGAGTTCATCCTGAGATCAGCTGAAACTAAACCAGAGACGTGTCTACCTTCAGAGGACGAGTCCGTCTGCTGGATCAGCCCAGGACCTGTGGGAGACCAGAGTCCAGGACCATCAGACACAAGTCACCTTTCAAGACCATCTGGAAACTCAAGACCTGACAGGAGTGTACACGAGAAGGACAGAGTGCACGAGAAGGACAGAGTGCACGTGAAGGACAGAGTGCACGAGAAGGACAGAGTGCACGTGAAGGACAGAGTGCACGTGAAGGACAGAGTGCACGTGAAGGACAGAGTGCACGAGAGCAACAAGCTGAGCATCATGCAGGCAGGAAACAGGAAAGACTCAGGTCAGAGGTCAGGGATCAGGGGTCAGGTGGATCAGGGGTCAGGTGGGTCAGAGGTCAGGGATCAGGGGTCAGGTGGATCAGGGGTCAGGTGGGTCAGAGGTCAGGGGTCAGGTGGGTCAGAGGTCAGGGGTCAAGTGGATCAGGGGTCAGGTGGATCAGAGGTCAAGTGGATCAGGGGTCAGGTGGATCAGGGGTCAGGTGGATCAGGGGTCAGGGGTCAGGTGGATCAGGGGTCAGGTGGGTCAGAGGTCAGGGATCAGGGGTCAGGTGGGTCAGTGGTCAGGTGGATCAGTGGTCAGGTGGGTCAGAGGTCAGGGGTCAGGTGGATCAGGGGTAAGGGATCAGGGGTCAGGTGGATCAGGGGTCAGGGATCAGGTGGATCAGGGGTCAGGTGGGTCAGGGGTGAGGGATCAGGGGTCAGGTGGATCAGGGGTCAGGTGGATCAGGGATCAGGGATCAGGGGTCAGGTGGATCAGGGGTCAGGTGGATCAGGGGTCAGGTGGATCAGGGGTCAGGTGGATCAGGGATCAGGGGTCAGGTGGATCAGGGATCAGGTGGATCAGGGATCAGGGGTCAGGTGGATCAGGGATCAGGGGTCAGGTGGATCAGGGGTCAGGTGGATCAGGGATCAGGGGTCAGGTGGATCAGGGATCAGGGGTAAGGGATCAGGGGTCAGTAGGAGCTCAGTCTGGACGTCCTCCTGCTGTCACATGTGTGGAAACACTCGTGCTCGGTGGTAAAGCGGTTAGCGTTGCTGTTGCAGCCACTGAACTAGAAGTTAGAGCATGCAGCTGTTCTCGGGTCAAAGAACCACATCTGGACAGAGTCCGTACACCCAGAACCAGAATCAGCCTCCAACTGACACCGGGCTACAAGCAGAACACAGAGTCCTGAGCTGCAGCTGTGCTCAGACCCAACAGAACCAGCAGGACCAGCAGAAGCTGAAGCAGGGAACCTGTCAGCAGTCAGAGACCAGATCTCTGTGGGTCTGGTAGGACCAGGTTCAGGAGGGGGGTATCATTACCAGGTCTCCGGCTGTCTCCAGTGATGAGGGTCTCTGTGAGGTCCACCTGGGTCTGCCCTCCTGTCTGCTCCTGAAAGGTCTGCCCCTCATAATCTCTGAAGACACAAACCCACATGTGGGTCCATCATCAGGGTCCAAAGTTAAAGACTAGTCCTGTCCAGAACCTGGACCATCCCTCAGACCTGTTGATTTAAAGATTCTGAAAATATCCTTTCTGTTGGACTTACCCTGTGACAAAGCTTTGTCCTGGATCCAGTACTGGTCCCTGTCCTGGATCCAGTACTGGTCCCTGTCCTGGATCCAGTACTGGTCCCTGTCCTGGATCCAGTACTGGTCCCTGGTCTTCCAGCTGATCACAGGTTCGTTTCAGAGAAGGGTGAGGGTACTTGTTCATTCCCTCTGAAATAATAAAAAAGCACATTGTGTTTGTTTGTTTGTTTGTTTGTTTGTTTGTTTGTTTGTTTGTTTGTTTGTTTGTTTGTAACTCAAAGATGTAAAGAAGAGACAAACTGAGATGAGAAAAGTTCTATAATGTCATCTCAGAACCTGAACCAGGTTCTGACACTTGAGCTCTTCCCTTCGTCTGCTTCTTACACATTTCTGAAGAAAAGTTGATGAAAAACTGCAGTAAAGTCTTTAAATCAGAGACCAGAACCAGAACCAGAACCAGAACCAGGTTTAGTACATCTGGTACAGCAGCTCCTTTGAGTTGGTGGTTCTGATCCACCAGCAGGTGGCAGTACTGCACTGTGGAGTTATAACTGATCTCCAACACCAGAAGAAGGTTTTGGTCAGAACCACTCCTGATCGTTAACGATCATTTTTATGGAAAAAAAAAAAAAAAGGTTCAAAAATCTGAATTACTTATTGATACAGAATAAATCTGTAATTAAAGATATGGTATTTAAAATGTGTATCATTTATTAGTGCTGGTTCTGCTTCTGGTACATGGTATCTGTGTATCTCCAGTTTAAAGAAAATACTGGAGCTTTTTATTTTGACTGAAAGTTTTTTCTTTACGATCCTAAGGTCACCAAAAAGGATCCCCTCAACACCTCGGCTGCTCCTAGAAATTCTGTCCAGAAAAGTTATGAACAGAGTCTGTGACAAAGGACAACCTTGGTGGAGTCCAACTCTCACCGGAAACAAGTCTGACTTGCTACGGGCGTTGTGGACCAAGCTCTGGCACCGGTCCTACAGGGACCTAACAGCCTGTATCAATGGGTCTGGTACCCCATACTCCTGGAGTACCCCCCACAGGAGTCCCACAGGGACACGGTCAAACACCTTCTCCAAGTC